TGCGATGGTGGTACAATACTAGATGGGCCGGCCCAGCGCGGGGCGCTGCAGGCGCCCGTTTGCAGAAAGCACATTAACGGGCGCCTGCAGCGCCAAATAGGAAACGCCCGAAAATTGTGTGAAGAGTAGTGCTAAATTTGGGCCAGAGATGAAAATTTTGTAGGTATTCCTTGACTTGGCCCGTCTGAATCTGGTTACCACCTCTCTTTTTTCGCCCTAAAATTACCCTTTTTTTTTCCCTCTGAAATGACCATCTCTTATTTTTCTTGACGCAAGGCTGCTCTCTTATGTCACGGCCACTATTTGCTAGAGAAAGTAGAAGAAAATTAGGAAGAGGAAGGAAGCGGAAGGAGATGCGGTCATCGGGGGTGTGCCGAACCATCAAGGCGGCAGAGGAAGTCGATATATAGCGTGCAAGCATGGAACCAGCTCCATGAAGATACACGCACCACACACATTACTGCAGGCGGCCGGACCTGACAATGATGAATTCATTCATTCGTGAGAAAAGGAGGCGTGGCTTTTGTACGAGAGATTACTTGAAACACCTGTCATGCAATCGACTAGCTCCTTTTCCCATGGCTCCTCATTTTTCAAATGTTCCATTTCATAGTCGGAACATCTACCCTCTTTGGTGTCGTGCCTAATCGTAAATGTTTGGAGCGGGCACCTGTCTTTTTTTTAACACAGTACAGACGTAAGGCACCTCTGAGAGACTGAGCTGGCATATCATCTTGAGAAATTGAGAACGTCTTCTTTCACTAAACGCACATCGCCAGAAATCCTGAAATAAAAATACAAGCAACAGGACTTGAACTCTGATGGACTGAAAATACCACTGTCCATCGAATCATCCAACCACATGTTGGTTCGCTGTCACCTGTCTTTAGTTGTTAACTTGTTCTTGGCTTTGGCTACGCACAAATATCGGCCAACTCTTTGACGGACGCAGACTATCTGCTCTAATGAACAGCAAAATAAAAAACATAGTAGAAAAAAAAATCTGAATGTTTTCTTTTGTGAAAACTTTACAGATGTTTTTGTGTGCTTGCAAAAATTTATCATAAAAATGGCATTCGTCAAAGTCATGGCAAAAAAAATACCCAACAAATGCTATTTTAAAAAGCATTTTGGAGCGTTGTTTCTTTTTTGCCATGATGGAAATTTTCAAGCACTCAAAACATTTATGAAAATTTGCCACATAAATCTTCAGATTTTTTTTTCATTTTTTGCTGGATTTGAGCTCGGGAGCATAAAGGACTTTCGGTTGTTTAAGTACTCCCTCCTTTCCGGTTTATAGGGCTCAATTCAAAAATCTCACCAACCAAGGTAGATGATGAGTGGTGAAATACTTTTTGTAGTTTACAAAAGCACCCAATTAATGCTCTTGTTTTTCTCAAAAAATTATGTTTACCAATGCATTAATTGCAATGCATGCATGCATAAAGTACATGCATTGGTCAATTTTCTCTTAACACTTGCATGCAATGATTTAATGCACCTTGAAATCTGAACATGTGATGAGAAACAATCAAATTGAGCCTTATAAAATGGAAAAACTAAAATTTTGAGATAAGTCCTATAAACCGGAAAGGAGGGAGTACTATAGTGGCTTAGGGCAACTTTACCCCGTGCATTAAATTAGAGAAACCAAACGCCCGCGGACAATGGACATCTGACAGAGGGGCGACCATTGATCCAACCTAATGCACCAAATAAAGCTGACATTATCTTTTCTTAATTAGGATTTTTTTTTACATAGCAAAAGTAATCGATCCTAGTCTTCTCTGTGCTGGACCTGGGCACATCCATGTTATCGAGAAGTATGTAATTCAAATTCTAGACATCAGGCAGCATAAACTTATGGTTTATATTTCAGGTGAAAGAATTTTTCTTAGGGCAATTGGAATAATTTTTCTTGGGAATAACTTTTGCCAAAATTAATGCCCTAGCCCCTGAACTATGATCTAGGCGGTTTTTGGTTTCGCCCGCTCGATCTGATTGGAGCTTGCGAGCATTTTCCTTTCTTTTGACGCCTCACTTATAGGAGTTTACCTCATGTTGTAATGAAACTTACTGGGGCCAATCAAGTTTTGTGCGAGCATTGGTCATGTTGTTTGATGTCCCATTTAGATCTCACAGTTTGCCTTGGTCGATCTATAGGATCGAAAAGACTTTTACGCGTGCGTGCGTCGCAACGTGGCGATAGGCTTGCGAGGACAATCCTAATCCCCCTCTAATTTTAGTTGTGGGGCCCAGTATCTAATTTCTCTCCCTTGATTTTAAGGGCGCGGATACCCTTATAGGATTTCCCAACTTAGTCGAGAATGGGTGCCCAGCTTGTACGTACCGAGAATGGGTGCAACCCACCCCATCTAAAGTAGCCTGAAATTCGTTCCTCTACAATCCAGAGCAGTCCGAACATGTACCGCGATGCGTATGTAAAATCATGTCTCTTATCTCTGCCCCCCCTCCCCCCCCCTCCTCCTGATTTTCAGGGGTGGTTGGGCAGGTGGCATGTGCTTTCCGTTGCATGCAAAAAGAAAAAAAAGAGGAGAGGATAGGAAAGGGAGCACGCAACTGCATTGCCTAATCCGGCCTAAGTGCCTTGTCAGAAGCTGCACGCTTCAGCGCGCGCGCGCGAATTAGCAGCCTCCAGGATATATTTGTTGCTTTCTTCTTATGGAAATGAGAGTTGATGTTTGCTCCACAAATAAATAGGGGGTGAAAAAATGATACTTCATTCCCCAAATTGTTACAAGTTTGCCATGTATGTATGTGTTATACACTTGCACATTGTTGCTTGCAGGACATGTGTTGGCTGATTTTTCCTCTTTTGAAAAGCAGATCTTCTAAGCTTATATGTTCTTTCAACCTGTAGATAGGATTTTGATGTAAATGATCTGATTCTTTCAGTCAGTGTGTATCATGTTCTGTTTGAAATTACACGCCCAGATTTTGGAATTAATAACACCAGTGATTAATATGGTACTGACACTTTTGGTACCTGATCTGGTTTTGTTAGGTATTTTTTTTTTAGAAAAGGAGGATGACCCCCGGCCTCTGCATCTGGACAATGCATACGGCTATTTTATTAATTATTGACACAAGACCTTACAGAGTCATACAACAATAAGCCTAAAGCCACCAACTAAGCAACATCTATCGCTATCCCTATCCAGTTGATGTAGGGGCGCTGAAAGTCTGGGCCTAATACCAAATAGACCTTGCAGCCAAACCTAATATCTAAGACCTGAGGTCCCAACCAGGACGCCTGCCTGGTGTGGGCACCCATTAGTCCGGCGTGCTTCTCAACCAGGACGCCTGCCGGGTATGAGGCCGCCGCAGCCACCTGCCACCAATCCATCTTCAGAGCTGTATTGTTGCATCAACCTTGCCCGGTCTAGCTGCCGCCGACGCCACCACGACGCCAGGCAGCGTCACCCTCCTGCGCGAGTCCATCTCCGCACATCAGGCGCCGGGTCTCCACTGCGCCATGCCGCCGAGGTCCGTCGTCATCAATGGACCAGATGAATCACCGCTCCTCCTTTTGTCCCCTCCAACCAGCACTTGCTCCAAGACGATGCCCCCATGAGGGAGAACGATACCGAAGGCCCCGTCATCGTCCGATCCGGTAGACCCAGATCTAGGGTTTCCCCCGGAACTTCCCGATCAGGTTGATGTGACCTGCAACGACGATGCCTCCAAAAGGGAACGACGTCTGAGACGCCGCCATCGTCCGCCAAGACCGCAGTCAGGCGCGGTTTTCACCGGAAGCCACGTCTTCCCGACCTCGGGGCCGGCTGGAACCGAGCGAAACCTCGCCATGAAGATGTATGTCGCCGTCGGTACTCCAGCGGAGATCCGGCATCTCCTCACCGGTCCCTCCACGCGCCGTCGGTCGGTGGAAGGCCTCCCCGCGACGGATCCAAACGGGGCGTTGGATCCGCAATGACCGCCGTCACCATCACAACCAGGACAGCCCACCCCGCCAGATGGGGTGCTGCCACCGCCGCCATCCATGCAGGGCCGCCACTCCGCCGGCGATGGTGCTCCGGCCCCCGCCGCACAGCCCGGATTCGCCGTCCCAGCCGCTGCCGTTGGATCTCACGAGAGGAGCCGCCCCCGCCGCCTCAGATGGGATCCGCCGCATCCACCCGCCCGGAGACCTTCGGCACCGGGCCCGCTGCCACCGCGGCCCACGCCGGCGGCAGCGGCGGCAGGAGGAGGCGGCAAGAGGGAGCTGGCGGCGCTAGGGTTTCGGGGGCCCTGGCGCCGCCCGAGGGGAGGCGACGCGAGGGGGAGGGCGCTAGGTCGTTCTCTGAATAGTACTACATTACACAAGTTGGGTACTCTTGTTCTGGGGTATATACAAGAACCATATTTAAGAACTACGTTTCACATGGATCTATTGATATTGTTCAGAACACAAAAAGTCGTTGATCCACACTCAATGGGGTCGCATATAAGAGAGTACATATGAAGGAGTATTTATGAGCAGTTAAATGTCTTTTGTATATGTAACAACTCTGCTAGTCCATGGGTCGATGACTAGTTCTAATAATAATAATAATAATAATAATAATAATAATAATAATAATAATAATAATGAATGGGTCTTAATAATATACAGTACTTCAATGGATATTATTACAAGGCAATAAACAAGCAAATCCGGTGTTCTTAGTGGCACATTATTTGAAATCTCTGGAACTGAAAATAGAATTTCTTCACAACTAGCAAAATACATACAATGCAACTCAAATTTCAGGGCAAAGTAAATGTAACAAACATCAAGCAGCATGATGCAACTTCCATTATTATTGAGAGCAATTATTCCGGCATTCGATCGCAAACGAGAAGGCCCCCCTACACCACCGCTGTGTACTCTTTTTTGTTGAAACTAGACCGTTGCTGTATACTTAGTCCTCCTTTATCGGTGCTCTCTTCGCCTCTTGAGTATCTAAGACGCTGTTCATATTTCTTCTCGTCCACTTGAATTAATCAGCCCGTGGCCACCACCTCCCCGTCCTGTAAGCACATATGAGTGCATTAATATTGGATCCTCAAAAGCAATTGACTATACGTATACAAAATGTAAAAGATAAAGTAAAAATCATCTGGAACCATTTGAGGAAACAAAAATTATAACCCGGGTCAAATATTCCTACAATAATAAGTTACTGTGACAACGTCTTCGAGTCGCCTGTTCCCACACGGCCACGCCCCTTGTATGCTTTGGAGGCCACGCGCTGGATGGCTTGGCACAACAGGACCGAGCGCCATGAAAGGGGAACACAGCGCGAGATGAGCGGTAACAAGCTGATGGCAGAGAACATAATTCCCACATAAGAGCATCTATAGGGCACCTGGCTAAATTGGCCTCTCAAATGTTTGCAGACTTGATTTCACATTTTTCTTCTGCAGAATAACCACAACCCCTACTTTTTAACCCTCATTTTTTTCCTAAATGCAACATTTCATCGAACAGATTGTGTGCGACACAGTCGGAGCACGTGAAGAGCACACACAACAGCGACATCACCTCAAGAACACACTGTATCACACATTTCCGGCCGGCTCCACCCATCGGAAGCACACACTGGCTGGCTTCAGAGAGGAACCCCTTCCTTTCATCCCTCCCAGGAGCTCACGTGAAAGCCTCAGACCCCCTGTTCCAAGCGACGACGACACTGTGGTGGCGTGATCCTTCCTGAAGGCGTCGTTCGAGGGCGGCTCAAGCGGTGGTGGAGGTGGCGATGGTTTGATGACGGCGTGGCCAGCTACATCTCCGGCGCTTGCCCGGTCCCTGGTGCGGTTGGTCCCGGCCATTGGTGTGAAGGGATCGGTGTCCTTCTTGCGGCGCCGGTCGTCCGGCGACTCCTATCATTGACCATTGTATGGTGCTGCCATTTTCGGCCTTCTTCGTGGTTTAGCGCCTTCGTTCGACATCTCTCAGCCGGCGTTATCTCTTGTCGCTGCCGGTGATGATGTTCGGGTGGTAGGGCCTCCGTTGCGTGTGGGTCTGCTCCTGGCGTCTCTCTTTGGGCAGCTTGGACACCTGGATTTGGGTTCTGGGGGAACCACACTGCCGGCCGCCGGTGCGGCACCCATCGAGCCTGGGGGTGAAAGGATGGTGGCCCTTTGCGGCGGCAGAGACAAATCATTATCGCCCATGTTTGGTCGTTCGATGGCTGTCAACAAACAAAATACTTCCGTGGCCTTAGTAGGTTAGTTGGTGTAGGTATAGTGGCGGTTGTTGGCAACGGCGTGGTCTATTCTTGCCCGCTATGAAGTTGCCTTGAGTTGTTCTACTTAGCACCTTGTACCCCTTCTTTCCGTTGTTTTCCTTTGTGTATGTTGCTGCCCTGTAATCATGGCTGGTTGATGGCTTTGTTAATTCAAAGACGGTCTAGGTTCGAGCTCTTCTCAGGCTCGGCTGGCGCCTTTTCTCTAAAAAAAAGTCAGGATGTTTAAAGAGAAAGTGTTTGGTCACCTTCTTTATTAAACTGACCGGGGAAATGTTTCAGATGTTTAAGGATGAAATAGAAGGTCCGACTATAGATGTTCTAACATAAGCAGCGGCAGGCACGGACAGTCCATGGGAACCGTGAGCATCTACAGCGGGGCGCCTTAAACCCTCCTCAAACGCCCAGGCGGCCCGCCCGGTCACGATTTTTTGGCCTAGACGGACGCCTCAAATGGGCCTCAAACGCCCAGGCTGACCGGCACCTCTCATATCTAACCCAAATATGGGGCGGATATGGGGTGCCCGGGCACGCCTGCCATGTCAGACCCGGCCCATGCTGGCCCATCCGACCCCACATATATTCATCCCCATCCGCTCACCGGAGCAAACCCTAGCCACTTCACTCCACTCCCCTCCGACATCCGAGCTCACCTTCGGCGGTTTTCGGCCTTCTTCGGCATGGCAGGCAGCGGATCATACTCCGACCACTCTGGATCCGCCGACTGGGGTGTCATCCTGTGTGGGTTAGAGGATGCAATGGCAGCCCGCATTGCACTCCGCCGCTCTCGAGAGGACAACATCAGGCCGATGGACGGATCCGTCCGCCGCGACGCCATAGGTCGGCTCATCGGGCGCTCGGGTCCTGTGATGCTGGATCCTCGCGGTCCCGGTAGTCAGAACACCAGCGGCCCGAAAATGCTCCATGAAAGCACCGACGGCTCGATGATGCTTTGTTGCAACACTGGCGGCCCCGATAATGCTCCATCACAGCACCGTCGGTGCTACATCCCAGCATCTACAACCCGATGATGCTTCATCGCAACACCAGTGCCCCAGCGATGCTCCATCGCAGCACGGGCGACCAAGCCACCGTACGAAGCAGCGCCTTTGCACCCTTTGTAGCATGCAACCCCCTCCAGAGTTGCATTGTGACATGCGTCGTCGGCGAGCTCGCTCCACCGCTCGTAGCGATGTCGGACGTTGTGGCGAGGGGATGCAACAGTGATGTTGGTGCCGAGATCTTGTCGCCGCCATACCTTCGTCCCTTGCATCACCGCACCCTTCGCAAGCACGTGGCTTCCTCCTGTGTTTCTTTGAAGCAGGTGTTGCCGGTGAGTACGTCCTGCTACTTGCAGCGATGGTGGATGCAACAACGATTTTGCACCGTCCCACCAAATTTGAAAATTAGGCTCTTCAACAGCCGCAGTGGCAGAAATAGCATCCTCGCAACGCGGTGGCGGGAGACAGGTGCAACATCGGTGGTAATTTGGGTAGTGCCGG